CTTAGCCATTTCTTTTTTTTTTCCTCTGTTCGGGAATTAACACCACTGCGACCAGTAATTTCCCGAGTAGCACACTTCCGTTAAGAAAAGTTGCAGCAACTTGTTTATGACTGAAATAAGTCGTAAAGAAGTTTCTACAACCGATATGTGACAAGCGTGCTACTAGGGTTGATCTATTGTAGTATATCCCGTATATCCCTAATTGAAAGGTCCCGCTCTTTATACCCTTCGGAGTGTTGAAACACCCTCCAAAGGCGCGCCCCTTTGTCAGTCAAAATTGGATTCCTTAGCAACAAAATTAAGGAATGACACCGATAATGACCATGCATCAGAACCCTAGTCTTAACCACTTCAAATTAGGGAACAACGAATAGAAGATTAGGAATCACATAGATGACGACTAACTAACTCATTTTTTCTTTGTTTCAAGATCATCCTCGGTGGACACAGCCGAGTTTGTCACTATCAAAAAGGCATAAAAAGTAACAAGGACTAAGATGTGTTCCTTGGATTACTGTTACTTTAGTTTGAAGTAGTCAGGACTAGGAATCGGTGGTAGATCTTACATCCCGTAACGTACCACGAAAAGGTGATCTACCCACGTTACGGGGCTAGCCATTTCTTGATGAATTTTAAAAATGGTATCTCTAGAATTCCTAGGGTTTGTAGATTATTTTGAACGTAAAAATATTGGAATAAGGGTCGTCTACTTTTTTTTTAAAGCGAAAAGAGTCGTTACATGTTTTTTTTAAAGGTGTTTTTATGGGTTTCGCAAGTGGCTTAAGGGCTATAATTTAGATTAATGGGCACAAAAGTTCATAATCAGCCAGAATACAGTCATGGTTCCTACATATGGATCCAGGAGACAACGGAACGGTCCTCCGGAAGATCCGAAACATCCGTAAAAGTGGTTCATCCACGAAACTGATCCTAGAGCACAGCAGTTTTTTTTTTCGAAAACACGTGTAACGTGATATAAGAAATAATTTGATAAATTAAACATGGACCGGATGGCTATTGAACCGTCATTCGGAAGATTCGGAGCACCCGTAAAACTAGTAAATCTATTTAACTGATCTTAAAGTTCCGCGGTTTTTTCGAAAACACTTGGAACTGTGATATAAGATAGAATTTAGGATAGTGACATAAACATTAACCCGGATGACCAAGGGACCGTTCTTTAGAAGATCCGGAACATCCGTATAAGTGGTCAATCCATGAAACTGATCCTAGAGCTCCACGGGTTTTTTTTTTCAAAAACATTTGGATCTGTGTTATAAGAATGAATCTGGGGTCGTGATAGAAACATTGACCCGGATGGCTGTGGGACCGTCCTCCGAGAGATCCGGAACATCCATAACAGTGCTAATTCCATGAAAATGATACTAGACCGTGTTCTAAAAATCGTCTTCTGAAATGTTTTTATTTTTCCCTCTACCAACACATACGTGAGGGCTAGATATCCACACCACCAGGTTGCACGAATACAACTGTATTGCTTAATATGCACGGACACACATACGCAGATAAAGTTAGCTGGTTCAATTCAAGATTTTTGGCTAAGCTTCAGGCACTTTGAAATCCTCAGCTGATGCTGAACACTTTGTGATGTGATGTGATGTAAATAGAACCCACCATCAGTGCAAGGATTACCTATGACTGTAGATACTTCACTGGTTGTAAAGTTCTGCCTGATGGTTTGTTGCAGCAGGGTGAATCAACTTCATTGAAGACCTTTGGAAGACAAACGACAAGATGTACGTCTATCAACACGTGACAAGGAACTGGCAAATCCACGAACCCTTGTCCAGTCTACAAATCTTTTGAAACCCTTAGGCTGCCCCCCAAACCCAGCATATAATAATGTTGATTAATGAAATGTATTCAAAAAAAGGGTTATTTAGAGAGAACAATCTTCAACTGGAACGTACTAACCAAATCAATACATCCGGGAGCGCATTCCCGATGCTTAATTTTCTCTAGTCATTTTTAAACAATTCTCAGCTGATGCTGAACACTTTGTACACAAAAATGTTGAGGAATTTCGTATAAATAAGATCGTTGATTGGCTGATGCCCATAGCCATCCATATCCATCATGACCCCAAAGTCATTCTTGTATACCAGTTCCTAATATTTTTGAAAAAAAAAAAAAACTGCGGAGCTCTAGGATCAGTTTTATAGACTTTTACGGATATTCAGTATTTTTCGGAGGACGGTCCCATGGCCATCTGGATCCATTTTTAAGTCACGACCCATAATTATTTCTTATATCACAGTTCAAAGTATTTAAAAATGAGCTCTAGGATCAGTTTCACAGATTTACCAATTTATGGCTGTTCCGGATCTTTTGGAAGAACCGTCCCATGGCCGTCCGGGTTCATATTTATGTCATGAGCCTAAATTCTATCTTTTATCACAGCTCCAAGAGTTTTCGAAAAAAAAACGCGTTTTTTCACAGTTTCATGGATGAACTATGGATGACCATTTCACGGATGTTCCAGATCTTTCAGACGACTGTCCCATGCAGAGCTTAAACTTATTTACTGCCTAGGCTGAGTGTGAAAGCACTGCACTATTCAATCAATTGCTCTGTGCAGACAGTTTGTACAAAACGGTAAAGGACGAGGCAATGAAAGAGCCAACAAAAACATTCAGTCACTCACGAGCAGGCGACGCACACCGCTTGCATTTGCTCACACAGCATGTAATTGAGTCATTTTTCCATAGAAAATGTACGCTCAGTCATTCAAAAAAAATATTGAGTACCATCACGGCAGAATAAACGTGTTGACTGAGCTACTGACTGAGTGCTCGGCTGTCAGTGACTCGTTTACCTCTTAATCATTCAGGCTCTCACGAGGCAGTGAATGATGAGGCAGATGCCAGTTCATATTCATATCAAAATGACTCAATGAACCTGACTGTTTTGCGGACTGGTCCCATGGCCATCCAGGTCCATGATTATGTCATGACCCCAAATTCTTTCTTATATATCTATAGCTCTAGGATCAGTTGTAAGGATTGACCATTTCTAAGGATGTTCCAGATCTTCCGGAGCTCCGATGGCCTCCTAGGAACATGTTTATGTTACAACTCCCTATGAATTTAAATATGACAGTGTCAAGTATTTTTAAAAAACCGCAGAGCTCTATGGTCAGTTTCATGAATTGACCACTTTTACGAATGTTCAGAATCTCCCGGAGAACGGTCCCATGGCCATCCAGGTCCATGTTTATGTCACGACCCAAATTCTTTCTTATACCACAGTTCCTAATGTTTTCGAAAAAAACACGGAGCTCTAGGATTTGGGTCGTGGATTGACCACTTTTACGGATGTTCCGGATCTTTCGAGGAACGTTCCGTTGTCTCCTGGATCGATATGTAGCATGACTTTGTTCTGGATAATTATGAACATTTGTGTCCAATAATCTAAATTATAGATCTTAAGCCAATTGCAAAACCCACACACCTTAATAAAACGTGTAACAACTCTTTTCACTTTTAAAAAAGTAGTCAACCCTATTTTTAATCTTTCAACGATCAGAATAATCTACAGACTCTAGGAATTCTAGAGGTAGGGGAAATGGTAATGGTAATTTCGGCCTTTATTCCCCTAATTTGGGTCCATACATAAATTCAGCAATCGACTAAATATTCAATAGTGACCAAAAATATACATTAGTACCTTCCCAATGACGCGTTCAGCCAGATAAAATTGATAAATAGCAGATTTTTAGCGATGGGCCCAATCTTAGATCCATAGGCCAACCAAAGAGCCATTTACCCTACCACACTTTTTTTTTAAATTCATCTAGAAATGGCTAGGTTATGCCATGGCAAATTTGTCGTTACACGCTTTTCGGAGGCTTCGTAGCCGACGTAAAGTTTTTTACCCACCGTATTCGGAGTGGTAAAAAGGAGGCTCAATGGCAAACAACAACTTCATATGAGATACTTAAGTGCAAAAGTTATAACATCTGGTTTAATATATTTTAGAACTGTTTGGATCACGGTGTGTTGAGATTTTCGTTAGTTTCTCGGGATCTGATTTTTAAAGTCCAGGGCCAGAATGGAAAAAGCTTGATTAGGTATGTATTGTCAAAGACACATATTTCCAGCAGTGGCTTGCAGAAATATGGTTTTGCCAACATTTTAAAGTAAATTTCTTCCAGTTTTAGAATCAGGAGCGATACATCTGCACCATATTGCACCTGTTTATAGGGCAGGAGTGGAAAACTTTGATCAAAATTCAATAGTTTTGTTGTACAATTTTAACTGCTTGTAGTAACACATATCAATGTGATTGCGAAAAAAAATCTCAGAGAGGCCCACCCTTCTGTGATCAATATTACAGCATATAATAATATATATAATTCATTATGTTTACGTGGCATCACGTGTTGCATAAATCGTTTCGCCAGGTAACCTTATTTGCTATGAAGTGATACCCGAGCAAAGTTTGATGCGGGACAACAAAAAGAAAACAGATTTTGATGTCAACATCGAACTGAAATCCTAATTTGATTTCAGTTCACACGATTGACACATTTGACAAAAAGCTTTTGTTTTCATTTTACGGTACATTTGCTCTTAAACATTTGATTTAGTAGTTTTGTTTTCATTGCCAGCAGAACATCAAATTGAATACTCGTTTTGCTATCAACAGGAAAATTGTACATCGAATTAGGTTTTCAGTTTGCTCTCAGAATTAGTAGAATTAGTACTCAATGTAATGTCACAGGAAGATTTGTTTGCTCTCAATTTTGATGTTTAGACCGAAATGAACCAAAAACGACACCAACCTGAGTAATCACCATCAGCAACAACACAACTTCAAGTTTAGTTTTGAATTTTGTCTCAAATATTACTCGGCTAATAATCTTAGAAAAAAAAAAATAGTTTAGAAAAGTCTCAACTCGAAGTGCTCGCTGAGACAAACTCATCAAATAATTCCAACACTTTTGTAATATTGCATCAGTAATAGCCAATGGCACTCACCTGGACCGGATGTCCTCCATCAGGATTTCGTATGGCGTTAGTTCGTACTCGATCGGCGTTCGGGAGAAGTTGATCTTTTTCAGCCTTACTCCCCGCCGCAGTTCGTCTACCACTTGCATCCAAAAGCGAGCCTGAAAAATAAAGACGAGAAAAAAAAAGTCAAGAGAAAGGGTCATTAGCAAACACAGTTTATGACCTGCTGCTGTGGTTGTTGGATGTGATAGTGAAAGAAGAAGACGAGAAAAATGCTGGAGCAAAGCCAATTTCTCCTGGCAAAAAGAATGTACGAAATAAATTAAGCAAGTAACAAGCAAACCGAAAAAAAAACGAACTTGGTACCTTTACAACTGGCATGTTCAGCAGCATTGAAGAGAGTTCAAGTAACTGAGAGCATAAATAAACGGCATTGTAGACGCACATAAAAGGAACGAACGGAAGGAAAAACAATTGCGCACTCCAGAAATGTTAATTAAATCATGCAAACAGTGAATCTTCTTACTGCGTGTGCACAGGTCTCTTTGAACGAAATTACCAATTAAGAAACGTGTTTTCTGCTGGTGCATCTCTAACGAATGTATGTACGATAGTTGCTGAGTGGGGACCTCCCCGGATTCAACATGCCATGAAACTAGGCTATCGTTGTGTTGGCAGTAGAACTACTTAAAGGTCCGGTGGAGTCCATGTACACAATCGTGTTTCTGTGAATTAATTCCAAAGCATCGCCAAGATTTACGATACTTTCCAGTTGTTTACGACAGGGAACCTTCGTTTGTTTTTGCCTAGCTCTTGTATCCATTTCTAGACCGAACAAATAGGACACTCTTCTAGAAAAAATTCATTTCTGTAGCTACAGCCCGCTACTGGAGCAAAACCTTTAAAAAGGAACTTATAATGAAAGCCTCAATCCGTAATTGTACCGCTACATCAGTTTTGAATTCTTGGAGGAGGATCTCGGACCCCAACCGTCGATTCATTCATTGTTCTTGGGTCATTTGTAGGTTGATGCGTTAGGTTATGAAATGGCATGATTCGTCAGTCTGGCTGGCGAGCATATGATGACGATCACCTCTATTTCATCATCACACACGTACGAGCCCTTTTCCTCCCTCGATATGGGATCTCGTGGTTGCAAATTGAATATTCCGAGACCCGACCGACAACGACGAGACAGTTAAATTGGAATGGATTCGAGCGGATCTCTGAGGCGCGGGTGAGCTAGATCTCGTCAGATCGTACGTATGGAGTATGGAATGGTACGTACGTATAAGAACCGAAATGGATTGCTCTCACGATGGGTGCATAAATCATGAGCAGATTTATGAGAACGTTGAGGCAGTCAGTGGGTCTCCAGCTAGTGATTTATTGATTGGTGCTGGAAATTGAAGCGCGCTCCCCGGAGTGATTACTCAATTGATATGGTGCGGGTGGTGGTGATGGTGTGGTACAATGATCTCACTCTATCCATGAGGGGTTGCACGAGAATTGTCTAGTGCTGGCTGGTGACCCTAAAGGGGTTAATGTATTGCTGTAGAAGGCATGACTATGACTCATGCGATCGATGCTTGATATGATTAGTAATTATTTTTAAACATTTAGCAAACTGGATCTGTTTAATATAAATTGTTGAACCATACAATAAAAACTGCTTATGTGATGCATACCACACTGAAAAATAAGATTACTTAGTGACATCAATAAATAAAGTCACCTAAGAGTTCGCATCCGATAACTGTACTCTGGTGCGGCATTAAAAACCGATTAAGTATTCTACCATGGTGCTATCGTAGTCACACTTCGCTCAGGTCCAACACCGATCGATTCACCAGCCGATGGGAAACAAACACCCTATAAAACTAAAGCAAAAATGCATGTATAATAGGCCATTAACCGATAGCAGATTATGTTAATGACATCGATTGGTTCGCCGTTTTAGAACCGTTCTGTCCGTGGCATTCCTTTTAAAGCAGCGTTGGTGACACACCATACCGAGGTCCCCAGTTACAGTTAAAATGCAAATAAACATCTCTGCTAGTTTTCTTACCTCCAACTGATAGGCGATGCATAATCAAGAGCAAAATAAAAACTGTGCCAATATTGTCGGCTGTCAGTTCCGGTCGGATGGCCAATAAATAAAGCGATTGCCGACTGACAACAGATTAGTTCTCAAACCCACGGAAGACGCGAAAAGGGGGGGAGGGAGTCGAGGAGCTTTTAAGCTTAATTTCCAGCGATTCTTTCCAGGCGATACTTTTTATTGTTTACTTCCATCATGAGAGAGCTCTCACAGAAAAGGTGCCTGGAAAACAGGGTAAATATAGCGGTAATTTTGGTATGTAAGTACGCGATTGGGTCGATGCATCAGCCAGCAACGACGACGACAATAAATCACAACGCCTCATAAATCGATGGAACGGTTCTGAAATGATGCTGCTGCTGCTGCTGGAGGTGGTCTTTAGAGAGATTTCAACGCCCGAGTGTTCGTCGCTTGGTGTTACGCGAAGAGGGCAATTGTTGATGTTTGCTCGGAGCAATCTGTGAAGTAACTGTAACTGAAAATGGGAATGTGTAGTCGTAAATCGGAACGATTTATCCGAGTTTACACCGGCAATTATGACCGGGTGAGTGCGCTTGAATGGGATTGTAGTTCAAATAGGCCTCAGACATTCCACCTCCGATGTTGACTACTGGGTGATCTACTCTCAGGAGGGCTGTCCTACTCGAGAAATATGTTTCGTAACATATGAGCACTACTCTAGCCAAACAATGCTCGCGTAGCAAAACTTGTAATTCCAGAGGCTTATAAAATAATTGCCATGATCAAGGATTTGAATAAAAAAAGATTCTAGGATGAAGGTTTAATTTACGGAAATTAAAGGATTTATCAACATAATTTTGATGAGAATTTCTGAAAAAAATCGAGGCGAAATCATGTGGAGTTTTTGTGATAATTCTAAGGCATTTATTCCCCATGAGAATTCCTTCACAGTTTCTGGGGGAAATTCCAAGCAAGTTGTGATTAAAATTCCTAAGTAAATATGTTGTGAATTTGAAGGGAGTTCTGATGGAACGTAAGTCAGAATTCCTTTGAATTCAGTTGATTCTAAGAATAATGAGGAAGAAATCTGGATAAATTCCAGTAATGAGCTCTAAGTATAATCACTATAAATTTATTGAGTAGTATTTGAAGAAAGTGAGGAGTAATTCTCGTTGAAACCAGGCCGCCCTTAACACATGGTCTTTAAATATATCCTCTTGTCGAAACTGGTGAAAAAGACGAGATTTCCACTTTCCTTACCTCCAATTAATGGACTTCTCACTCACCAAGGGGCCTTACAGTTTTTAGAAATTCTAACAATTCTTGACATATTAATTATATTAAATCTTCGAAATTTAATATGAGGATAGGGCTTTCATTCAGAATGGATATTTTTGGGCAAGCGAGGGGTCCATTAATTTGAGCTAAGGAAAATGGCAATCTCGTCTTTTTCATCAGTTTTGACTAATCAAGCGTATATATTAATAATATTTAAAAACCATGTGTCAATGGCGACCGGGTTTCAACGAGAATTACTCTGAGGAGAACTCCAAGTGTATCTTATGGAAAGATTCATGGTAGTTCTATAAAAAAATAGGGGTTTTTGAGAATCGTTTCAATGTAATATTGTGGAGAATTCCTATAAAATATAGTAGAAAGTTCCAGGAAAACTCCAAAAGAATCAGTTTTTTTTTAATCTTGCAAAGGAGTTCTTAGGAGAGTTTCAAAGAAATTCTGCGATGAAATCCAAAGCATTTTGATATTTTGAATTGAGTTGAGTTTGTAAATCGAGGAGATTTTCAAGTAAAATATCAGAAAAATTTCAACGGAGCTCCGATAAGAATTTAACGGTATTTCAGAGAAGAACTTTAATAAAAATGATGAAAATTAAAGGAATTTCAGGACGTAATCCAAAGCAATTCTGAATATGGTTTGGTGGAACTTCCAAGAACAGCATTCCAAGTACATTTCTTGGTATTTCTGAAGGGTATAACCAAGGCACTAATGAGAATTAAAGAAACATAACTAAGTGAATTTTTCTGATGTATCTCTTGAGTTTTATGGAGTTGTTGTTATAGTTTTATGCACACTAAAGCCTCCCTTAGCTCTGTCGGTAATGGGGCAGCTATGAACCAAGACCAGGGTTCGATTCCTGGTCTATCAATTTTTCGGGTTGAAACATTTTCGTCTTCCCTGGGCATAGAGTATGATTGTACTTGTCTAACAGTTACTATAGACTAATGCAAAGACGATACAGGCTGAGAAAGCTCTCAATTAACAACTGTGGATGTGCTCAAAGAAAACTAAGTTGAGGGGCGGTGTCAAGTCCCAGTAGGGCCTTTATAAAAAAAAAAGAAAACAATAAGCACGTAATCCAGGCCTCCGCTGTTCGGTAATTTTTTTTACTACGGAACTGTTCAGAGTTCAGTATAAAATTGAAGGAATATCCTGATGAATATGAGCATCTAAGTGGAATACCTGTATAAAAAGAAAGAGAGGGAGGGGGAGATGGATTAGTAATTTCCATTTAATTCCACTACCTTATTTGCTTATGCTTGACAGATACGTGTATGTGCAGTTTTAGTATTCGACGAGTATTATTACCAACACTGAAGAAGTCTGCACATTGTAGACGAAATACGCGTTTGTATCAAGGATAAGCAAATAAATAAGTTAGTGTAATTAAACGGAAATTACAAACCCTTTTCCCTCTTTCGCTTTATAAAGAAATATACTTTATTAGTGCTGTTAAAAACCAAGTGAAACTTTACCCAGAATTCATTGTGAGGAAAAATTATAAAGAAATATCAAAATGGATCCCAAAAATGTTCTATGAGACATCTGAAAAGAACTTTGAGAGAAGAATATCCACAGGAATATCTTGCGAAATTTTGATCGCCCGCGCACAAAAAAAAATCTGAATTTTAACTATCGCGTAAAATCTCCATTCGTTTAATTTTAAACTATACTTGGCATGAAAAGCAAATTTTTTTACAAGATTGCATACAATATTGCTAATTAATGCAATATTGCGCTTACATTTATGCCAAATCTAGCGTTAATTTTATGTGCGCTATATCTCGTCGAAATTAACAA